CGGTGAAGACTCCCCAGCCAAAGCCCGGGGACGGGACCCGCCTCCCTCGCTGCGCATCTCCTCCGGAGCCACCTCCCGCCCCGTCCCGCCGCCGCCACCACCCCCGTTCTCAGCCATCCCCTGGGCCACGCTTCAGGCACCGCAGCGCTTGTGCGCGGTGCCCCCCAGCTTTATAACTTCCCTGTCCCACACCTGAAAGACAAGGCGTGAGCACGGGGGGCATCCCCACCCAGCACAACGCATGAGCGATGGAAACCACACCTGCAGTCCCTGAAACCAAAGGCTGACCCTCCCCGTACTGATGTGCAGCTGTCTTTAATAAACTGCTTCAGGACTGAAAACAGAACACGGGAAAATCTGTTTCAAACATTAATAAATGCTGCGCCTGCTTCCTGGTGGCTAGGAAGCTGGTGCACACCTGTTTCCGGGAAGATTTTAATGGCTCAGCCTCTAAGGGCTTTTTGCGGGTTGCAGAAGGGGGGCAGAGTGACCAAAATTAATGAATGCAGGAGCTTTAAGAGCTACAGCTTCTGCTCAGACAGTTAGTAGCTGGCGTTGATGTTTTAAAATAGGAGATTAATGATTTTATGAAAGACTTAAAACCTAGACCAACTCCTGTGAGTGCAGCTGGAGAAGCTATTTCTGAAATCAGTGTCTGAAATAGAGGAAGTTCCTTTAAAATGCCATTGAGATATTCCACTCCTGGTCACTAGACGTCAGGAGACTCAGAGGGAGGTGTTGGAGCTGAACTGAAGCTCCGGCTCCGAATATGACAGCCTTTGTCACATTCATGCCACATTTGAGTAGGAGCAACTAGATATGTAGCCATGTGAGGAATGTACATGGCTTGAAGTCCAAAGCAGCATTGTTCTGATAGTAGGATGTTTCTTCTGGGGCAAAGAAGCACTTTATTCTCTCCATCAGACAATTTAGCTGAACTCTTTATGGGCCTTTACTGCTTCTTGATCCATAAGGTCAGCTTCAGACACCTTCCACCTGCTGGAAATAACACAACTATATCAGATAAAGTAAATTGTTGATGGGGCAGCTGCAGCTAATCTACATGAAACATCAATTGGTTACAGGCACACTCATGTAATGAAAATGGTGTGGGGTTTGACTTTTTGGCCAGTTCTACAGAGGAGAGTCAGTGTGAAATAGCTGCCAGGGTGCAGAGTTCTTTAGCCCAGTTTGTGTCATTATGTTAGGTACTTACACGTGTATCTAAACTCAGAGATGTCTTGTAAATGCCTAGTTGTGTGTAGAAAGCGAAAATCACAGAATACTAGTTCAGAGAATCCACACAGAAGAATGACCATGTAAATTATCAGAACTTAGAGAAAAGTTCACTGAGAAAAACTTCAAAGGCAACGTACAAGCTAGCAGAAAAATCACATTTCGTCAGGTCAAGTACTGCACAGGATTCATATTCCAAATTCCTCAGTAACTCCTACACAAAGCAGTTGGATGAAACCCTTTCAACACGCACATATTACATTCATGTAATTATATTGCTAAAGGTATGTAGCTTATTGGGAAATTTTTTGGAAAGCTATTCCAATATAATTCTCGATAGAGATGTAATTATATGTTAGTATAGAAGTGCTTCATACTAGCTTAATGTCTTTCTTTTTGTCAGTACACACAACTTTACACTGATAGATCTATATTGGTTTGTAGAATTAAAGCAATACAAATTCATTACAAAAACCCCAAGCTGCTAGTTAAACAAAGCTAAAAAATCCAAAGCACTGAACCATTTAAGTGATTTCCTCTGAATACTGGTAAGGAAGAAATCATTATTTCTATTTTGAAACATGTAAAAAGTCCTTGACTTAGCATAAATAGTGCTTAGCAAGAACTAAAACATCCGTGTGTTATCACTTTATTCTCATGCTAAATCCAAACTACAGCACTATACCAGCTACTAGGAAGAAAACTAACTCTATCCCAGCTGAAACCAGGACAAGGCCTATGAAAATACATGCACAAATCATGAGTCTGCTGAAAACAGGAAAAAGATGAGCAACAAGAAAAAAGAGGACCTACTGAAGGAAAAAAGAATCAGGAAGAGAGTGTATTCTGTCTGTTTTGACAAATGTAGCTCTTCTCAAAATATGAAATATTTTCTCAGCCATTCATCTGAGTTGCCACTGGAAACAGAGATCATCTTGGTCAATACAGACTATAAATATTTTATGAGACATTAGTAAAATTGGTATGATCATATTTCCTAGTAATGAGTGCTAACAGACCATTACAAAAATACAATTATTCTGATTAAATACAACAGTAATCAATACCCTGTGCTCTGGGTGAGTTTGCTTCAGTAAGTAGTGATGCATATTTTTCAGATTAAAATGTTTAAAAGAAAAAAATGTAAGAGTTTAATAAAGCAGAGTACAGTTTTCTTCACAGGCCATAAGCTGCTACGTGAAGCATGAATCTTAACGCTCCCCGTGCAATTAACTATCATTTCAGGTAAAGAGCTGCACTGGTTGTCCTTGGCACAGCTTCAAGTCAGCTTAAGCTTTCCTGCTGTAAGTACCTGGTGATGGAGGGAAGGATTCTGTAGGTTGTTCCCTTATAACCTACTCCTGCCGCTGCTCGCCTCAGCAGACATTACACCTTCAGCCTTTTCACTTGTTCCAGATACTTCTGTTTTTCTTTTATAGCATACTGCAGAGGTAATAGTCATTCAGAAATTAATTCCACCTAATCCCCAGTATTTTCCTGAGATCTTTACTTTCAAAATGAATACTTGTCAGTCATTTCTCAGCTTTCATATCTGTTAAGTTGGAAGGAAGATGTAAGCTGCAGATTCATTGCTTAGCCTTTATTCAGTGACACCATCTTGCTTAAACTGGTGCCAGTGTGAGAAAAATGTCCTCACTTAAATAATTCAAATGGCATTCATTAAAAGGAAGAAATTGCTGAATCAAAGGCTGTGAGGTACCTTGTCAGCATTTTCAAAGATGAGGTGGTTTTTAGGAATAAAGAACAACTTCGTAATAAGTGTAGCTATTCTCTTTAACTCTTCATACTGTAGCTTAGTGCATGGCCCAAACACACCTTTAGGACTGCCCTCATAGCTCCCATCTGACTGACACAACTCTGTTTGAGGAAGGAGATTAAGATTTTGGGGTAGACAGGGCAGTGCTGATGTACTTCAAGGGCAAAAGCAACTGCCTCAACTTCACAGTACAGAGTGGGATGTACTAGCAGTAAATGTGAAAAGAATCAGCTAGCTGCTAATTCAAAATAATATTCCTGTCTATCCTGAATTGAGAGATCACTTACATATACAAGGCCAGTTAAATAAACTGCCTTTTAATCTAAAAAAAAGAGAGAATCCCTTTGGCAAAGACAGTGTAAAGGGAAAGCAAATGCAACACTGAATGTAGCCAAAATACGCTGTTGTACTTCTGGTGGGGCAGTTTTCCAATTCTTCTCGATCCCAGACTAGCAGTAACAGTGGATGACCTTAAACTTGTGTTTCTGCTTGCATAGTCCCTACCTGACAGCTGCAGGGATCCTGTTTATTTTAATAGATGCTTATTGACACTGGAAAATAACAGCATTTGCATCATTCAGCCAAACGCCAGGAAGGAAACTGTCTGACATAACATAACCAGATTGTCAGCCCTCTCAGGCCTAATGTTTGTTACAGATGAAGGAATCCTTCACTGCCTGGTTTAGCAACTGTTGCACCTACATCACTGGCCTAAACTTATGGGAAGTCTACTTCAGGTCATTTCATCCCACATATTTCCAAAGCCTTCAGGTATTCCTAAAGGCTTAGTTTACCAGCTGTATCTTACAGACACGTGTGTGATGACAGAGACAATTTCAACAGGGGTCCACAAAAAATGCTGCAGTGCATCTGGGCAGAATGATTTCCAGGATCAAACCCTCGCTCTGGATTTGTGTGTCAGTATCTGTAATGCTGACTTTCCGAAGAATATAAATGACTCATCTCATGCAACCTGACATGATGATGTAATATGCTATTTTGGTGATACATTTTTGGGTCTATAGCAGGGCAATAAACATGGAAACTTCTTAAATTTTGGAAAAATATAACAAAAGAAAGCACCCATACAGTGTGATACTACTGAAAAGGTCACACTGGTGCTTTTTCCCTCGTTCAGCCAAGACATGTATTGGAAGCGAACAGACTTTCTGGTATTTCCTGGTCCTTTCAGAAATACGGAAACACTTTGACAATCAGTCTTTTTCCTGACTTTCTGAATTCCAACCAGAATAGCAAAATTAAAGTCTTCATAACTTTTTTAAAATGCCTAAGCTTCCACTTGCTTCCCTTAACCACTATTTAGAAATAAACGGAATGTATGTAGAAAGTAAAGGAGTAAAGTACAGAACAATAGCAGCAGACTTTCAACCTTTTAAAGTCTAAATTTTATAACAATAGGCATTAATATAGGAAAAAAATGAGTAGTTATTTTCAAAATAATAATAAAACCAGAACATCTTTACCCCCAAGATAGGGCCTGACTACTTAGACAGAGGGGAAAAAAAACCCCAGAACCAAACTTATTTTAAGTATTTTCTTTACATTACTTGATCAGTTTTGATCTTTGTTTTATGTGGATGTGAAATCAGCTCTTTCTAAAAAGAGAGAAAGACTTATTAAGTATTACTAGTTCATTCTGAACTTACTGTTTATCCTGGAAGACAGCTTTATACAAACACTGGAACAAAAGACCACATTAGTAATAGTAAAGAATTTGCGTTTTTTTAATGTGCTAATATGGTACCTGAGTAGTCCAGAGAATAAAACTCATATAAGTTATTGTGTCAGAAGGAAGAAGACTCATGCTTTGTTTCAGGCCTAGCTTTAATGCATAGAATTTGGACAAAACAGATATACTTGGTTCAGCATTTTAATAAACTTTGAGCAGAGGAAGTACTTAGTATGAACCAACTTAAAAGCTTAAATAAGGAGGAAGAATAAAGGAGGCTTTTATGTCCAAAATGAATACGTCATTTCTGAAAGTATCCTTTGAAATCTTGTTTTCCAAGTTACTTCTCAAATCACTACACTTATCAGCTTTAAAATTTCAGTTCTACTCTCTACTATTGAGTAATGGAATTGTATTAATTAGGATATGTGACTCATCAGAAGGACAGATGTTTAACCTTATATGGGGTAAAACCTCATCTATCTCTGCTTTGTATCTTGTGAATTACAACTGAAGGAAAGAAGCACCTTAATATAATGCAGACCTCTTATTCTTGGATTTTCTTCTACTGATAAACATCCGGCCAGACCAAGCAAACCATTATAAATCAGTAAATCTAGAGTTCACTACTGATGATAATAATACTCCATAAATGGAGTTCTTCATTGCTCAAATTTAGTTTGTGAGAGCTTTTTAGGGATCAGAGCATGTGAAACCTGTAGCCAGTTTAATAACTTTGTTATAAAGCGAGTTCTAGTATTTCAGTGGAGAAAAACTAGCAATGAAAGAAATCAAAGCAACTAGCAATAAACAATCTGTAAGATTAATTTGGCATATTAAACTGAGAAATTTAGACGCTTACACATTGGTTTAATTTAAATAACTGAGGTCCTTTCATAATGTATCTCTATATAGAATACAGGGCCTTCAGCAAAGTGCTGTCACAGTCCTCACTCATTCTGACAGCGCTATGGTCACTGCTTCTGCTGTATTTCCCTTCTCAGTCCCAAGTTCTAGTTTTCAAGATTCCACACATTCTCACATTTGTCCTGTTCCCTATCTGCCTCCACCAGTGAGGTCAGCTTCAGTTCCTGTCTGTTCCTCCCACAAGCATCTCCACATTTTCTATGAAAATTTTGATTTACTAAGTCATCCTTTTGAGATAGCTTGCAAGACAACATGCAATCCATTCTCAGCAACTCTTCTATTCTGTTGTCTTGGAGAAAGTAGTAAAAGCCAGCATGTTGTAGCTAACTAAATTATACATATACCCATATAGAAATAAAATGCAGCGCCAAGAAAAGTACCTTCAAACACTTCAAAGTATTTATAATATCACCTTACTCCTTGTGGTTTTCAGATTGGAAATTGTCCAATAACCATATTTAGCTCATTTAAACTTCATTTAGCTTCTACACCTATTGCTTCCTAGTGTCTGGTCTGAGACTTTCAGAATCACACAGCGTACAGGATCCTCTTTGCTCAGGGAATTTGTTGAATAAAGCCAACTTTTCTGCATGCTTACTCAATTCAAACTGAGGTGCTTTTGCTATGCAAGAGTGATACCATGGTATAGTTTGCAACACCCCACGAACCCTCATACACTGGACTATGGTCCTTTGAATGCTGTCTGTGTTGTCAGCATGCACAAACCTTGAGATGCATCCATAATAAAAAGGGATCAGACTTACTGCAATCCTTTCTTCCCTCTGTTTCCTCAGGAAAGCTAGTATTTCTTCTCTTCTCCTGGCCTGAAAAGAAATATATTTACCACAATAAGCTCAGAAAAATAAATTAGAAGCATGTAATACTTAACTTGATTGTACACCTTAAATTCCTCATTGAAGCTGAGAACTATAGTGAATAAACAGCAGAAAGAGGCATAACAGGTTACCAGATAAAGTACTTTGATTTCTCTTTCTTCCTGAGATCCTGAAAACATACCAGTTGGGAGAGCAACCTTCTTTTCCTAGAGTTACGTGAGCTTTGAAATAATAATTCTTTCCTCAAATCAGAAGGAATCACTCCAAATGTCAAGATGAATATACATACTAAAGTTAGCAAATACTGTTCTGTAACATCTTGAGATTATAAAGTTGGGGTAATTCAGGACTCACGTATGCATAATGACTCATTACAAAAGCCTTTTCATTTGAGAGGTGCAACCAGAGATCACTTTTGTCTTCAGTATGCATCTTTGGATTAAGCCAGTCTCTGCTACTCTGTAGAAGTGATTTAAAACTGCAATAATTTGAAAGGTGATAAAATTTAGTCCAGTTTTGAACTATGGAACATTTAATGGCTCTTTTCGATCAATGTTCCAGGTTCTCTCTACAAGAAGAGAAGTACGCATCCTAGAACTTGATAAAGCTCCTCTCTTTATAGAGTTGGAAGGAAAAATAATTTCCTAGGGAGAATAAGTTCCTGCTCAGAATTTTTTAGTATTCTGATTCCCAGACATCTGAGCACATCTGTATATTTTTGCATTGTGGAAGTCAATAGTGAGACATCACTGTTTAAGCTGAATAAAAGCATATTAAATTGCTTTCTTAAATTCCTAGGAATTTGTTATGAAACAGACATTCCAGGAAACATTTGGGGAAAACCCTCCACCAATGTGAGAAAGGAGCACATCTCAGCGTACAACTAATAAAAAAAAAAGAAGAGTTTCTTATTTGTTCTTTTCCATCCAGAACTGGTTAAGAAAAGATGATGTAAAATTGATGGGGAACCCCCCGTTTTTTTAGTACAGTGAATTCTTTTTTCTGATGACAATTTCTTCCATGCAATTTGATTTTAGATATTAAGCAACCTTCATCATGTAAAGTGGTTTCTTCAACAACCCTTTCCAAGTTTTAATCAGCTCTAACCCTAATAAAAAAATGGCCAACTTTTTTTTTTCCCAAAAGATTAATGTAAATGACAGCATAAAAGACAAAGCCCAAGCTCTAGTTTGGGAGTCCTGATATTGAAAAGTAACACCTACCCAATATTCTAGAATTCGAATTCTCATCCTTTACTGTTATTCCCCTTTCCCAAAGGGAAGTAAAATACCTGAGCTGATAAAAAGAAAAGCAAACCTGAGCCGCATCTTAGACCGCAATAGGAAGCTGTATGTTTATTCACTAGTATGGGGAGCTGATTTAAACACAATACCCAAGTAAGGCAAGCAGTGCATGCCTGGGAGCGGGAACCAGGTTCAACCAAGAGACCAGATCATCAGGCAAGTTCGTGGTGATGAGGCAGTCCAAGTTCAAGTCAGGAAGGCAGTCCACAGGTCAGGCTCAGTGATGGCACCTTAGAACTTACTAACTAAAGATAGCCAAATAAGACCACGATCAAAAGAAAAAGTGGCCAGGTTGGAAAAATGTCTAGCAATACAAATATCTATTCAGACAAGCTAAGCATTCCTGTTGTAGATGCATTAAACTGATTACTCAGATTTGCAGTGTTTATAATTTTGAAATTTCTTTGTTAATCATAAACTGTCCTGCAAAGGAATTAATGAATTACACAATAGTCCAGTGAAATAAACATTCAAGACCAACAGCTTTTTTGCCATGTGCCTCACTACTGTTTAATATGCAATTAGCTAACTGAAATCAGCATTTCTAATAAATGAATTAACTGTCAGTTTGTGAAATAACAATGTTAACGCAGCTAAGATTTCTTTCTAAAAAACCCTGTCCCTGTACCCCTGTGGAGACAACATTCACTTCCCAGATCTACACAACAGAGCTTCCAGGTTTTGCTCTCCCAGGGGACATGCTGCAGGAACAGAATGGCTAAATCAAGTCTGAAACCTGGATTTGAACAGTAAATGACACCTATGACTGATAATAATGTGAACATTATTCTTACTTCATTCAGTGCATTAATTTTAATTTTCTTAGACTTATGTGAGGCTTATAGCATGTCCTGTAGTTGTATAAAGTAATTTACTCGTTGAAATTAATCAGTCATCTTCATGGCTGCCAGATGCCCAAAGCTGCAAAACCGTGCTATCATCTATTGTTACTGGTTTTTTAAAAAATGAACGGAAGATTCGGGGAACTGTTGCTAGCTTCAGCCAGAATTCAGAAAAAAGGCTAATTGATGATAATGGATGAGATGCATTTTGGAATATTAATTGGAAAAGGAGGGTTGCTGACTTGCAGGAAAGACTTGCAGACCTCAGCACCTTTCTGCACCTCTTGCAGATTGCTCTCATCTGGCCCGCTTCCCAAATACAGACTAGAGGCTTTTCAGTAAAAATGTGGAACGTTTTACTAAAATCTGAAAAAAAAAAATAGTATAATTACAGAGTCAGGCTGAAAAAGTTATACAATATTTAATACTAGTTGTCTTAGTTTCCATTGTGTGAATTGTATTCATGGTATATATGTGGAATGCTGATTCGCCAGATAGATTAATAGGGGCTTCAGAAGAAGTTTATATCCGTGTCTCAATAGCAAGCACAACTGTTGGCTGCATCTTCTTTTTCTTGGCAAAGTAGTAGGAGAAACCCCAAGCTCTACACGCTTAGTCCAATCCCGCTGTTTTGCAGGAGGTGAACCTCAGTGATCTGGATACCATGTCACTTATTTTGCTTCTTTTCATGGCCAATTTGATGCTTCAGTCATGGCATAAACATGAGTATATATACCTCATAGCATGCTAAATTTTATTGATCCTATCCACCAATTACAGTCTACAGGAACCATTAACTGAAGTACTGAGTGGGCAGTTGCATGCCAGATTGATGTTAGCTTTTGTAAAACTCCACTAAGTCAGAAGGCTCTGTGGCAGTCTGGAAGGATCCAACCTGAAAGGCGCTACAATATCCCAGTTATGCCTTCCTTTGGAAAGACAGCATCATCTATAAACTCAGTTTTGATGTTGTTTGCTAAAATCTACAGTTTGTTCTGTAGCTAAGTAGTTTCTACAAAATTTGAAATGGTTTGGTCTAGCAATTCTTGAATTATAACTCTCTAAAAATATCACCTATACCCGCCCCTGAGTGACAGCCTAAGGCAGAAGCATTTCTATGGAAGCTGATTTAATAACCGCCCACTACCAAATTTCCCGCATCTCTCACTCCATGAATTGGCACTAGCTGCTGCTGGGCACAGGCTAATGGAGAAGATCTATTAATAACTGAGACAACTAAGAAATAAACTTGTATTTTGAGCTGTGCTTCAAGGTTTCTATGCCAGGATTTTGTATGTGAAAGTATATGCAGCACTGGCATTTTTTTTCCCCCCAAATTATCCACTTTTGAATCTGGGCACTCTCAGTTGGCTACGTTTAGATACTAAATCAGAACAGACATTATGTGTGCTTACTAGGAAGAAATTAAGTATGCAGCCTACCACTTTCAGCCCTGCCACAAGCCAGCATAAGCTAACCATCAAGAAATGGGCTGCATCATGCAAACCACACAGTGGGCCAGGTCCAGGTGATTTTTATTACTGTTCATCATGTCATTTCCAAAGTTCCAGTATTCTACCGAATGACACACGGTGAATAGAAATATTTATGAAAAAAGAGTCAGGATCCGTGGTTCTTACCTGCTGAAGATATTTTTATTTTACTTTAGTTTTCTCCATGCTTTGAGTTTCTGAGAGTCTCTTTCTCACTGTTTTTCTCACTTTCTAAGACAAAGGAGAGGCAAATGAACAAGTGCTCCTCCTACAGAGGACAACTGAACCATAGTGTACCTTGGGGCTGTTCAGAAAGTTAGTGATCCCAGCGTCTGGGTCCCAAGGCAGTAGGTATCAGCTGAAATAGCTCAGTCGTGCACACTAGCTGCTGTGGCTCTTCTGTCATCCAGAGCTTATTGGCATGAGTCATTATGAGTTCCTGAGAACTGATTCCTCCCAGAAACCTAGGCAACAAAGGTTTATCAAGCTGGGGGCATGCTGTACTTCATACTTACTTCTAGAAAGGTGTGGACCCTGGAGAACAGTACTTTCTGGAAAGTAAAATCACATTAAGGGTGCCTAGGAAGGTGGGGGATTGTGGTGCAGGGAGGGCATAAGGCTGTGGAGAAGTGGGGGTCTGGAGAGGCTGCAGGGCTCAGGCAAGAGGTGTGGATCTCCCAGGAGGGCACAGGGCCTTGGAAGGATGTGTGAGACCCCAGGGAAGGTGTGGGGTCCCCAGGAGAGGTGTGAGGCTCTGGAGAGGGGCCTCATGAGGAGCATGAGGCTCCAGGTGAGGTGCAGAACCCTGTAGAGAGGTGTGCAGCCCCAGAGATGGCATAGGGCTGCAGGCAGGGCCTCCTCGTGGGGCATAGTCCACTCATGGGGCAGGGTCCCTTCATGTTGCAGGGTGGCAGGACCTAGACAGGACTTGAGTGGCAGCAGGAGCACAATGGAGATCCAGAAGGTGCAGGTGAAGCCCACATTGGCTGGACTCGAGCCAGCAAAGTCAAGGGGCCCATCGGGCACCATCAGGTCCTGGCCTGTCTCTGTCCCCATAGTGCCGCATGGGGCTGCGTCCTGTTGTCCCCTCTTCATGAGAGGGGCCTGCCCAGCTCAGCCTGTCTGCTCCTGCCTGGTGGCCATGGGGAAGCAAGAGGACGGCAGGACCCTGATGCTGCCCATGCCACTGCTGCCTTCTGTGGTAGGTACTCGTGACCTCTCTGCTGGGGCCCATCCCTTTTCCCTGCCATCACCGGCATCTGGGTGCCAGGAGAGAGGACTGTAGTGAAGGTGTGAAGCCATCTCTGAGGGGACGCAGCAGCACAGATGTGCCTGGGAAGCCTGGACCCATCTGCACAGTAAGGGGGACACTGCCTGTCATGGTACACATGGAAGACCAGAAGACTGAGCACATTGTACATCTCATTTCAAGTGTCTTCAGGCCATTTTCTTCAGGGCCTTGGGCCTCTCTATGAACAGGAAATAGCTGCCACCACAGGCCTCAATTTTATTTATTCAACAAGAGTAAATGGAGGTAAATGTGAAAACAGTGACCTTAGATGAGTGTAAGGCTGAGAGGAGCACAATCAGAAGGGGAGCTGCTGTCTCAAAATTTTGGGAAGAAAAAAACCTGTTCAATTTGTTTGCATGTTTTTTATTGCCTATATGCAAAACAGTTGTGAATGAAGCATATCACACAGTACGGTGCAGTTAAATTGGCTTGACCAATGCACTGATGTGTCTTGCAGTGTGATGGGCAATTCAGTACATTCGACTTGTTTTATTTCATTGTCCTGCCTGTCTATTAGCTGCTTCTTCAAAGAGGCTAATGTATCTGCCTTCTGTTGTCAAAATTCCCATGCATCTGATTTCCACTGAGATATCTTCCAAACCTTTTTACCTGGCTGTGTGGCTAGTGATTGTTACTTTTGGCAATCAGCTAACTACACTGCCTAGTAACTAGGCTGATGTAAGAGACAGTTCCCTTTCAACTGCTACTTTGATGAAGACTGGGGTTTTGTTAAAAAAACCCTCTTAGAGCAGGTTCTAGCACTATTAAGTATTTTCTCCATTATTAAGATTCTTGAACGTTAAGCAAAGTGGTCAGAGTAAAAAACATTTATAGCATACAGTGAGTGTAATATTTAATGATTGCTCAAAACCCCCTTACTAACTTGTTAAATAAGACATGAAAGCTAAATGAAAATTATTTTCCCAATACCTGACAGATAAATTGAAGGGTACAACCAAAACAATTGTTAGTCCAATCTTGGTGCTTAAACAATTAAGTTTACAATAAGTCTTCATGTGGCTAAACAATTCAAACAGAACAGACAGCATTCTTTCTCCAGGGAAGTTTAGCACCAACTTCAAGAAATCTAAGATTTCATTTAATATTTCCAACACGTGCCATGTGCTTCTGTTGGACAGCTAAAATTCTGGAAATAAAGCTGTAAATGAATAAACATTATTAATAAATTTGCACTAGGAATAAGGATGTGGTAAGGAAGATTTGTAGTGCAGTTTTCTGTACTGAGGTTGTAGCAGGGAATCCTGTGCCTTGTTTTGATGGCAGTGAAGTTAATGATTGCGGAACAGCAGATACAATCAGCTAACTACACTGCCTACAAACCAAGCACTACTCTTGTGATGGGGTCATGGCATTCAAACCTAGAAAAAATGAAAGCACTTCCAATAATTATATTAAAATACTCCATGTCCTCAAATGCTCTTATAGCAACAAGCAATTGACAATAATGGACAACACTGGTCATATCACACTTAGTGTTATTCTACCAAATCCAAATTAATTGTTCTTACTAATTAAAAACTGCAGTGGATGCATCAGAAAGATCATTTCAGGAATGCAAAGACAAAGCAACGAAATACTAGAATTTAAATTATTGTAATGCACTATGATGGAAGTGGGAAATGAGAAAAGCTTTGGCATGCAGTCCTTGCTGCACGAATGTGGACCAAGTGGTAGCTGTATTCAGAGCCGGAAGTGCAAATACAGCTACAAATTTGGGCCAAGACAAATGTTCAACATGAATAACATTCTACCTGGTTTACAGCATGTCAGCTGTTAGTGCTATGTCACAATGATCCTACTTATCCTTATTCTCTAGTTGGGGCATTTGAGTTAATGTCCTACAGCAGAGGCTTCATGCAATTTCCATTTAAAGGTTTTCACAAGAAACTGCAGGTAATTACAGCAGCAGTGAGAATGGCAGAATTTCACTAGTCGCCTGAACTTCAGAAAGCCTTTTTTCCCAGAAAAATACAGGAACATAGATTGTGCTGGTAGTCAGATGTCAGGCTGCTCAAACCTTTTACACTAATTTGTGGTAGCTAAAGAAATTAGCAAATCTGTTCTGCAGAACAAAACTGAGTACGTGTAAGTAATTATAATTGATTATGCTTGAGTCTAATACATGTGTATGCAACTAATAATGTGATAAAGCTATTTTATATAGATTTATCAGGCTACTCCTAAATCAGGAATGAGACGGAGCCTGTGAGGTTACAAGGATAAGTTTGTCTGCAAATTAAACGGTTTTGCTAGCTTTCACCCGTAAATGCCTTATTGTTAAAATGCATAAAAATAATTCAGAACTTACCCTCAAGAAGCTTACCTTGCAATAATCCTGATAAGGACTGCATTTATAATAGAATGCTTAAAAAGATTTAATGGAAAGGGAAAAATGGCTAGCTGCTTCACTCTTCATTTCCTTCCCTTTCCCATGGCTAGCACTGCAACCTATTCCCTGAGCACCCCACAGTCTTTACCTGGCAGACATGCCTCTGGGGATGATTCCTCAGGTGGCCCCTGGGTGCCCCATCTCTTCCCCTGGGACTCCTGGGATGGAGTGTCCCCAGTCTGGGCTGTGGGTCAGCCCCACGACTGTAACCTTTGTGTACACTCTGTCGTCATGGTCACTCAGCTGGGGCTTGTGCATGGAGACTGGGCCGTTGCTTTGAAACATGCAGATGGCTCTTGCCATAGGAAGCTTTGTTGCAAAAGAGGTTTCTATGGGCAAAGTCAATACGGAGCACACACAGACTTTCCACCCTGCTCGTGCAGACAAATGGCTACAGGTTGTGTCACAGATGCTGAAGCCGATCCAAGCTTCAGTGTCACATGTGGCAGTCCAGGGACACACCTCTTGGCTGAGAGCTGGAATGCTGAGGCTTCAGCCTGGTTTTCTTCATACCAGGAGTCTGGCTGCCATAGAAGGAGGCCCCCAAAAAGACAGACTAACAGCTCAAAAGAATGAATGCCTTGTGCTCCTGGCACTGGGCTGCAGTGGGAGGCACATGCTGCACATCTTCACCCAACGGTGACCCACACCATCTCTCTCCCTCCTTCTTGGGGGCCAAGCCATCCGTTTCTTTATGCTTGCTCTTGACCTGTTCAGCTCACTGCAGTTCTCTCACTTCCCTTGCATTTCAGATCTTGTTTCTCTAAGTAACCTTTTGGTCTTTTCTTCCTCACAATCAGCACCAACACAACCCCATCCTGATGTCATGTAGTTTGGAGCTGCAGAAGGCAGATAAATAAGCCCATATGGATTGGTAAAATGCTGTCTGCCCCCACTTTAGGCTGTCCTTTGGTCCATGCTAGCCACACTGGCAAGTGAGGCAAAGCAGGAGAAAAGACATTTTGTGCTCTGCTTTGCCCCTTTTTGTGTGGGAGGAGGAACTGCAGGAGAAAAACAACTTGCTCCTCCCTGCTATGTTAGCAATGGTGGCAAGATGTGATTCTTAGCTGGTGATGTGATCCACAAGCACTGTAAGAATAAGACTTCCAAGAATGTCTAGTGATTTGGGGTATCTAATTGACCCGAGGTGCTTTTGAAGGGCTTGTCCTTTAGAAATTTCTGTGCATCCAACCCTCTTTGAGTAACTGCATACCTCTATAAGGCCTATGTAAATTGTGTTCAGCTGGATGGCTCAAATCTCTTGTAATTTCTGAAGATCGTGGCATGCAAATAGGGAGGAAGAAAGAACGGACAAAAATAATCAACACTTGATTACATTAGCAGAAAAATTTACAATGCTACAGCAATAGCTCTTAGACTGCATAAAATAAGCACAGATAGCTTTGCAGGTTTTCCTTTGCTATTTAATTTTAGTCTTTTTTTAAAGTTTATTTCATTGCTTAAGTTGCTGAAGACTGACGATCTTAAATAAAATTCTAGAAATATGTGGTGCTCAAACACTTAAGATCCCTTTCAAGCAAATTCAAGCTTTTCCTAATTCCTATATTGTAATATTAAATGAATTAAAAGTATTAGATGGTGCTAAACATTGCTACATAGGCCTATGAACTGCAGAGTTTTTCCCTTCTGCAAAGGAAGATGATAGTTCACAGAATGAGGGTAAAAGCAGGTCCTGAAGTCAACTGTTAGATGGAGTTGCAAGCCAGGACATCTTCTACAGTTGTGGAATACACCTCCTTAGCAGTTATACTTTATCTCCTGCGTCCGGCCTATATGACACTGTTTTGTCACACCACCGTGGGTTGCCTGCCTACCTGCACAGTACGGGTGTTCGCACAGACCTTATTTCAAAGATCCTCTACACCAGTGAGTGTTTTCCTTGGGCAGGAGGCTTCTCCTGATCAGTATAATTAGCATGGTCATACTGCCATGTGTGCTTTGCACAATAAAATACAGTACTCACGGTAAAATCTTTAACGAGAAACTTTATCTATGAGTACCTATCACTTAAGTTTTTACAGAACACCCACTGAGTAACTAAGTAATGAAGTAAAAATGAAAACCTTAATCGGAACATTTGTTTCTGAAATACCTATTCTTAAGCCCTTTCATCAGGCCCAGAAAGTGTCTACTTGTATAAGCTGAAAGGGAAAAATCTGTGAGGAATCGACATATTAAAATTTTAGTTTGTGGCTTTGATTGGATTCAGTTTCTGTCTTGTTTCAGTCACAAATAATTCTTTGCACAGCGACTGCATGATTTAAATAAATGTGCGAGTTTCTAACATCCAGATATGAAGTTTCTTCATAACAAAACGACAAAATGGCATAGTCA